CTAACAAGGTAATAATAATTAATCATCTCATTGATACCCCCACATGCATACACCAACAAGCAAAACATTACGGTTATGAAGCACAATAAACATTTTAAAGTTAGAAGTTTACTACCTTAATGTCAAAAACCCGAATTAAATCTCCTTTACTCAGTCATCACCAAGCTTCTCTTTCCCTTTTGTATTAGATGATTATCCAACTTCTTAACTAATCAAACAAGTGTAAAATGAATTACCAACATGAACTAGAATTTAGGAGTATGAAAATTAACTTTTGATTCAAAATGAGATTAAATTAGCTTGAAGTAACTCGTGGGGCCAAAATCCCTATAAAATCTCAAGTTGCTATCTTCATCTTCCCTGGAAGATGATGAGCTTATCTCCAAGCTTAGGAGATGTTGATTAACACCATTATCTTCACCAAATTCGGATGGATTACTAGCTTAGGAAAGTTATCTCCTTTGGTGCTTCTAGTTAGGTTGAAAAAGAGAGAAATATGGGTTCAAACTAAGGAAGAAGAAGAAAAAAGAGGTTTCAACTTTTCCCCTAATATTTTGCCCGGTGAAAAAAACCAAATTAATATGTTTTCATCATTTTTCTCTTCTAATATTCTAATTATCCATATGGATCTCAATTCAAAAATTCCTTTTCTATGATCATTCCGACCTAATTCTCATCCGATTAGGCCCACTTTTTGTGCAATGATTTTAATTACATACTTGTATCGGTATGTAAAACTGTTGGATCAGCCCACATGTGTTGACTCATAATTTTATAGCGTTACAATATATTTAAACTTTGAGATTAATTGATACAATATTTAATTATTGATGGTTGATTTTTTTAGAACTATAATTAAATTAAAATGATACCTAACTTTGGAGATTAAATTTTTATTATGCTAATTTCATTAACGCTAGATTAATTATTCATCTAAAACTTAATAATTAATGATTATTTTATAACTTTTGGAAATGATAAATTTGTTACATTTTAAGTTTGAATAATTCAATCAGAAGCTCATTTATAATATTTAGGTGACTATCAAAATAGTTTTTGTTTTTATGTTTTCACCTCAAAGATTGACACGTTAATGGCACGTGTAAAAGCTGCAACCTTTTGGTAAGCCATTAACGTAATTGCATGGATTTGGTTTTGGCCACAATATAACTTACGTTTAAAGCATAAGCAGTGATGTTAAATTTGCTTGCTTCGGTTTTAATGAACTTGTGCCCATAAATTGGACAAGGAAATTCCAACCATCAATTGCTGGCTCGCCATTGACTTGAATGCAGAAGTTTATCATGGAACCGCACGCTAACTTCAGTAAACAAATACTTTCAAAGCACAATCCACATATGGCAATCATTTCATTACTATTTGTAACGGTCAAAGACCCAATTTTTCATTTTAATGAAAAATGTTAAATTTAACATAAGTCTTCTTTTTTTAAATCCATGTTTTTTCTTTCTTTCAACATTGCCATATCAGTCTTTTTCTTTCTATATAAATAATTTTTTTTTGTTTTTATAATTTAAAATTTTAAAGTAGTTTTATTGTGTGAAGGTTTAATCTAAGATTAATTTACGACATATTTTAATTTAAGATATATTCTGTTCAATCTAAAAAGTTATACAATTGATAGAAATTTCGATTATAATTGAGGATGTTAAATTACGACGAGTTTTATTTTAAAATATTACTTGTCTACTTTTTGAATTAACTACTGATATTCAATCTATTAATTGACGAATCTATATCGGATTTTGCAGAGGTTGAGGGTGACTCTTCTAACCCACTTTATTTCATTCGTACTTGTAAATATTCAAACCTCTAATCTTACTTAAAGAATTTAATATCTTATCCTACTAATCTAATTAAATGTTGGTTATTACTTATCAGTTTAAAAGGTTATATAATTGATAATAATTTAAGTTATAAACTTTCAAATATTTGGGAGTAAACTTGTGGCAAAGAGAGGAGATTGACGCAAAATCTTATCCACAAAATAAAGCAGATTTAGTGATGAATCACAAGTTACGAGGGACAAAAGCTTTTAAAGTACACGGCCAATTGTTTGGCAAGGCAAATCCACAAAAAATAATAATAAAAAGTTGAAGTCAAGGTGTTTTCCTAAAGTTTGTATATTAGGTTTTTCAAAATTCACCAAACCAAACCAAACCAAACAAAAAATGTCAGATTCACCAAACAAGACAAACCCTAACCCTAGATTCGTCCCTAATTCCCACTATCATTACCATAAAAGCTTCAACTTAAAGCCTAGAGGACACTGAGTTGCTTAATAAGTTGCTCAGAAAAGGGTTATTACAAGACATTTAGTTTCAGACACCAATCTCTAAAGCATGCTATTTACAAGACAAGATGCAGCACCATGTTCCCCTTCCTCTCAGCAGCACACCATCAACTTCTCCACCGTCGGAGCCTGATTTAACTTCCTTTCAGTCACTTCCCTTGGACCCTACCGTACCGGATTACGCGTCCCTCCTCTCCGACGAGCTCCTCCTCAACATATTCTCCAAGCTTCCCATCTCTCAACATGTCTCCGATTCCTTGGTCTGTAGACGCTGGTTGTACCTCCATGGCCTGTTGGTGCAGTCCCTTAAAGTTACGGACTGGTCGTTTGTTACTTCGGGTCGGGTATTTAACCGGTTCCCCAATCTCACGGATTTAGACTTGGTCCGTTCGTGTATTGGGATGTCCAAGTTCTCTGGCATTGTAGCGAACCACAAAACTGTGTCGGTTCATGTCGATACTAATTCGATTCTCGACGGATTTCTGGAAGAAACGGCGTTGTTGCCGTCGAATGAAGTTGACAAAGGGCTTACAATGGTAGCCGAGAAGTACCCGAATTTACAGAGATTAGTGGCAATTGGGACCGGCGAAGAAGGGTTATTAAAAATAGCCGAGGAGTGTCCTACATTGCAAGAATTGGAACTGCATTGTTGCGGTGATTTGGCTCTAAAGGCAATTTTCGGGATTAAAAATTTACAGGTAGTGAAACTGATTGGGTTCATTGATGTGTTCTACAATTCGGCGATTTCGGACATTGGGTTAACTTTATTGGCTCAAGGGTGTAGAAGGTTAGTTAAGCTGGAGCTTTGTGGGTGTGAAGGGAGCTATGACGGGGTTAAGGCCATAGGGCAATGTTGCCAAATGCTTGAAGAATTGACCCTTTCCGAACATAGAATGGATGGTGGGTGGTTAGCCGGCCTTTCGTTTTGCGGGAACTTGAAGACCTGAGTCTTAAGTCTTGTAGAAGTATTGATGAGTTCCCTGGGGCGGATGAGCATTTGGGGTGTTGTTTCACTCTCGAAGAGTTGCATTTGCAGGGCTGTCAAATTCGAGAGACGCAAAGTGTTAAAGCTTTGTTTTTGGTTTGTGAGAATGTTAGGGACATTGTTTTGCAGAATTGTTTTGGCTTGGAGGATGATGTGTTTGGTCTTGCAAGCATTTGTAGGTACGAGACTCTTTTACCCCATCTTCAATAGCATTATTTCTTTTACTTGGGATTGTTGGGTTTCCTGTATATTTTGGTTCAAATTACATATGTATCAATAGGAGCGTGGAGTTAAACTTAGCTAAAGCTATCTGCCATAGCTTTTATATGGTACCAATTCCATGTTAGATTATTGGCAACTTTTGATTCCTAGAGACTACTTTTGTATGTCTTTCAATGCATTTTTATTTTTGTAGTAAACTGATGATCTTATTAGAGAATGTGACTAGAGGAAACTTTAGGCCTTTGATAGTTGATCTAATCTTTAACATTATCTGCACTCATATAGCAATAAATTTCTGGAAAGTTTTGAATTTGATTTCAAATGACCAAGTGGGCATTCCCTTCCTCTTGATGCTTAATATGTTGAAATGTCTCAGTGACCTGTTAGTGGTGCCGTTTGAAATCCCAGTTCTGCATTTTTCTTATATAATAGCCACGTTCGAACGTTTAAAAGGAATTTTTGTAGATAATCATGATGTGATCACAATTGTCTAGTTTCTTTTACTGATTTTCAGTTTGCAACCGTTTCGCTCTCGCCCCTGTTCGAAATCTGACCGTGGATTTATATTTTTTTTATTTCACCACTTTTAGGAGAGTGAAGCTTCTTTCTCTGGAAGGATGCTCATTGCTAACTATCAAAGGTTTGGAGTCGGTAGTGCTTTCATGGAAAGAGCTTCAGCGATTGAGAGTAATGTCATGTAATAATATCAAGGATACTGAAATCACACCTGAACTGGCAACCTTATTTTCCATGTTGAAAGAGCTGATATGGAGACCGGATTCCCGATCTCTGCTATCATTGAATCTTGCCGGGACCGGAATGGGAAAGAAAGGTGATAGATTCTTCAAGAGATGGAAGGATTAACCTTGCCGCCTAATTCCATGCCTCTGGGTCTGAAGTAGTTAATGCTTGGATTGTACGGATCACAATATACATTCCATAACTTTATATGTTCATGCATGTTGGTGATAACAGGGGAGGATTCATCAAGCCAAGCTTATCAGAGTTTGTGTGTATAAACCCTGGACGCCGACAGCAATCAAGAATTACTTTGTTAAATGTATTTTACGTATCATTGAGGTTAGATTTTTGTAGTTTGAGTAACAAGTTAGTTGATGTAAACATAGGGGTTCATAATGTAGTTCACTAGGGATGGACGAAGAGAAGTTGACTGCAGTGCTCTTGAAAATTTTAAATTCTCATATAATTTAGTTATTTTTTTGTATTTTCTATTGTTAATTTGTTTTATAACTTTAGCTTCATAAAATTTTATCAATTTACTTCCTAGAATTTTATGTCCGTTTCATAGTTTCTACCCTCTTTGTTCGTTGTAAATTTGGTGTCTTTCTAAGTATATAAATTTGGGTTAACTTAGCCCATATTGTTTGGGCCTAACGCATCTGGCACGTTCCATTATGAGGACGCGTGGCTTAAATTGATTAGACAGTGCTGCGTGGAAATACCCAGCTGTTCCGTCCTCTAAGCTTTAATCTTAGAAATGTTAAACAGTCGGTCCTAAAGCTTCCGAACTTGCGCATCCGAATCCCGAGTCAACTCAGGCGAGTTTCCCTTCTCCTCTCTTTCTTTGACCGTATCTTAAATTTGGTGGGTTGAAGTCTATGATTTTTCCTTTATGGAGATTCAATTAGGCATAACTAAATTAGATTAGGGAACAAATTTTGGTTGTTTTGAAGTGATTATATATTGTATATCTCCTATACGATTTCATATGAACACGGTTTATGCTAATTTTAATTTTATTGACTGTAATGGAGCATTGTGAACTTTGGGTATCTTAGTCACTTCTTAAAAACCCTTCTTTATTGATCCCATCTAGCGTTCTTTGAAACCTTTTGTTTTGTTCTTTGTAGGACAGTAAATGAACCAAGCTTAAATGAACGTATATATTCGTATTCGTATATTTTAGTTATATGTTCGTTTATTTGGTTTATGTTAGTTAAGAATTTTAGAGTTGTGTTTATGTTCGTTTATTTAATTATTATTTGAGTTCGTGGTCGTTCGTGATCATATCATGTTTGTTTAGTGTTCATGAATATTTTCATTTAAACAAACAGTGGCGGATCTAAAAATATTTTTTTTTAGGGTGAACATATATATATATATATTAATAATAGAAAATTTTCATATGGGGTGAACACAAATAAAGTTTCAGGATGAGCACCATCAGTAAAATATACATCTAATATAAAGAAATTCGATTTTCAGGTGGTTACACCTCAAGTGAATGGCAGCTTTGGCACTGTTATCTTTATCCTGCCCTTACAAGGTATGCATGTTTTCTGTTGCTCTTATCATGAAAAAGCTTTCGTTTACCTTTTATTTATCTCTATTTCAGTTTATATTTGGATTGCATTTTCACTGAATTCATAAATATCTTTATGTTGTGTGAATTCCAAGTTTTTGTTTAGATAACACAATTGGCATATGGTTTTGCAGATTGACGGTGGCAATGAAAAATCCTCTTCATTGACATCGACCCAAGCCTTAAAAAAGCCATCATCATCCTTAGGCATAAAAACTTGGCAATTCCCAGTTAACCTCAAAAATCAAATTGGGTCATTGCTGCTGGTACATGCCACCTTGAATAGCCCAAAAGGGTTTGGACCGCCACCCAAGAATAACAAAAAGACAAAGAGTGGCGATGAGGAAGATGAAGAGGAAGAAGAATCTGAGGCAGAGGCAGGCGTGATACCTGAGGTGGTAACGAACCGGATGATAAGCCGAATGGGATTGTCGGTTGGGATTCCATTGTTTATAGGGCTGTTGTTTTTCCCATTCTTTTATTATCTTAAGATTGGGTTGAAAATTGATGTTCCAACGTGGGTGCCGTTAATTGTTTCCTTCTTCTTCTTTGGGACGGCTCTGTTAGGAATAAGTTATGGCATTGTGTCATCTAGTTGGGATCCCATGAGAGAAGGGTCACTCCTGGGATGGAATGAGGCTCAGAAGAACTGGCCTGCGTTTTGGCAATCCATTTGGGGTGGATCACGTAAGAAGTAGGACGTTTCTATACACTTACATACTGCTATTTTCCATGTCAACAATCTCTACTGTAAGTGGTTAAAAACTTTCAGTTGACACATTCTCTCTTAGATGGTGAGCTTAGTTTTTCAAATGTATATGCATATATAATTTACTGTCTTGACTGGTTGATGATCTTTGGGTATTGGAAATTGATTGTAGGCATACATGTAAATTGTATCTTTTGTAGGTTTCTTATTCCGATTTCTTTTCCTAAAATGGCTCATAACAAACGTGCTCGTACCTCTTCTTCCCGAGCCAACCCCTCCTGATTCGGTCCCTGACCTTAATCCTAATCCAAAAGCCATTGACCTTACTTTCTGAAACTCTTGTTATAATGAACTGGATCGTCGAAATCTTTAATCTCGTTACATCGAAGACTTTGAAGCTTATCCTCTTCGGAGTGAGTGTATGCCCTCTATTTCATCCATGGCCATACTTAAATTCAAATATCTTCCTCTTCTTAGAACTTGGAAACTAGACTAAACTTTCAACATCAATCAAGTTGTCTATCACCAATTGGTCCGCATTTTCTATTCTAATGCGGTGTGTGTCCAAAACGAAACCCGAACCTATACCGAGTGTATTTGCTCCTATCTCATGGGACGAAATATCACTATAGACGCTTCCACCATTGATAAGGACCTTGGTCTCGGCCTTATAGGTATTGATAATGAAAAAGACTATGTAGAAACCATTTTAGAAGTCCCAAGTGTCAATGTTCTTGATTATCATGAGCAGTTGCTTCACCTCATTATCTTGTGGTTGTTTCAACCATCAGGAGGTAAATATTCCTCTCTCCGTATCGTTGATATTTGGTGGCTTCACTGCTTCCAAATCAATAAGAGGATAAAATCTCAGATTGTTTTCGGTGAGCTAGTAGACTGTAAACAACATTCCTCAAAGAGAGTAGAGTCCTTAGTCTATGGTTGCCTTTGGAGTTGCTTCTTTGTTAAAGTCAATATCGATGTGTCTTACTATCTTGTTATCCCTTTGACATCTTTCATAGATCTTAAATCTCTTCGTAAATCAGGATGGGAGCAAGTCGGAAATACTTGGCAACGGAAGGATAAAGAAAGGCAAGGTGTCAACACATTCGAAGCAGCTCCAGCTCCACCACCATCACATGAAGACATGATGCAAGAAGTTTATGATCCAGTGAATCGTTTTCCTCTTGATGAGCCTTCTCGTGATGGTGGTGAGGATGTCGATAAGATGATTCTCCCTCATCTTCCGATGATGATGGAGACGATCAATATGCAATTTGTTACGCTTTCCTCCCAGTAGCCGGTGCTATAAACACGGGTCTCCAAAATGGCTTCCCACCAGTTGGCACTATATACGATGTACGTCGACCCTCGATGTGATTTTCACGCTCGTTTCGATACGATGGCACTCTTTCTCGTGACTTCTCTTCATTCGTGCTTCGTCTTAGGACATCGATCCTCCTCCTCCACTGTCGAATGCTTGATCGCCTTTGTGCCTTGTTGATTGCATATTTGGATTTTTTTGCTTATATTTTATGGATTTATGGATTTTAGTCTTGATGTTTTCACATACTTTGATATCTTTGGATTTGGTTATTTGTATTTTGGATGTTTTTTATTTGGATTTTCATGTTGGATGGTTTGAACTTATATTCAATTGATATTTGGATCTTTATGGTTTATGTTGAGAGATATTTATTTGATTATGATATTGTTTAAGCATTTATGAATATTTATTTGTTCAGTAAATGGTTAACCCAAAATTATTTTCATTCGTTTATATAATTTTTAATTTTTAAAAAATATTTATTCTATTTTTAAATTTAATAATTCAATATATTTTTATATAATGGAAATTATTTTTTATATATAAACAATTTAATATATTTTAATATTTCTATTGTAATACTCTATATTATTATAAATTTAATTTTTTCATGATATAAATTATAATATATTAGAAACCTAAAAAGACATATCGAACTGGATGTCGATCTTAGTCTGATTCATATTTTAAATGGGTTTAATTTTTTTTTCTGTCAAAATTTATTTTTCAAATCTAATATTATTTTATTCAAACAAGCGTTTAAAAATAACCCAACCCCTAAAACTTCCAGTTACAATTTTATGGTTAAAAAACCTTTAGTATTTCTTCCCCTTGGTTCCCCCTTCTCCGCGCAGCTAGCGACGACTATAACCTCGTGTAGCAACCACCTCACACATAACCCCATATGCCACAAAGCCACTCTCATTCCTACCAAGTCAAAGTATATACACATGTTAGAATTTTTTTATTAACCTAGTGACAACGCAAACGATGTAAACGTAACTACTTGAACTTAAAGATATTACTTTTTACTACTGAAACCCATTAATGAGTTCTGAATAGATTAAACTTGAACAAATCATATATGATATCCTAATGGTAAATAGATCCAGGCCGAAATTAGCAGAAACACTTGGAAGCACACATGGTGATTGGTGAGTGCAAGATCTATGATCAATAGTTTTCATCGTTTGGGCCGTTGCCCAACTTCATTCTAAGCCCCGTTTTTGCTTGCTTAGGCGAGCAAATCACTACCACGCTAAAATCTTACGGTTCAAACTTCAAACCCACAAGAAAAATGCAACCATTTCAGCACAGTGTAGGCTTATATATAGAGAGTACCAATTTGGCGAGTGTATGTGGAGTCTGCATATAGGATATGCGTGTGTTGTCAATAAATTAAAAATATTCTAAAGAGATGTTATCTTATAATTATCACAGATTATTCAAAAAAAAAAAATCAGTAACGACCAAGTCATATCTAATGAGGCTCACAGATGATTGTGAGTCACATGTAATGGTACCCGATGTAGATGGTATGGTACAAGTGAATTTAGATGGTGGGTAGGGCAGAGACCCAATTTTTATTGCAGAAGGGTACCTCCATAATGGTGTTTTGTTCTTTACCTAAAGGGGTTGCAAGTACGGATGTAAATCGCCTGAAATGCATAGAGCAAGAGTGGTGGGTGTTGGGGTTGTGGGCACATCTTGATGTGTGAAAAGAAAGGAATGTGCCAAATTAGAGGGCGGATTTTGTGTGGGGTTGCTTTTCTTCTCAGCCTTACGGTGTTGGTGTCAACTTCTTTTCTTCTCAGCCTTACGGTGTTGGTGTCAACTTCGACTTGACACTGATGCACACCCACCATTTGTTTCAGTAAATATATGGGTAAAGTATACAAATGGTCCTCCGATTATAGGGTGATACTTTATTGAGTCCCTCGACTATTAAAATTTACAAAATGGTCTTTCAACTATAGAGTGTTATTTGGTTGAGTCCCCCAACTATTAAAAGTTACAAAATGGTCAGTCTACTATTTAGAATGTTCCAAACTCGTCTTTTTTTGTTAATAAATTGACGACAGTCTGAGCTAAATGTTAACCTGGTGACTAAGATATGATATTGAGTAACATGGATCAATAAAAATGGCACTCAAAATTAGCTGATTACAAATTGAAACAGGCTAAGTAACCAAATCTTAAGGGAGGTTCTGTTGTGAGGCGGTTAAAATACGGCTAAAAAATGGCGTTACTGATTAAATAGGTGACCGATTAAAATCGCTACCAAAAATGTTACATGTTTTCACCGAAAATGTTATTTGTGTTGATAATAATAATGGTAATAACCAGAAATGTTATTGTTGTATGTAAAATGGGCCAAAAAAACATTGACTTTAATAATTTAGGTTAATTACTAGAGATAATATCAACCATAATAACATAACATGTTGCACCTAAAATATTATAAATTGTAAGAAAATAAGTAAATTACTTATTTTGTTATTAATATTATCAACAGATTAGGTAGCGCCTAATATATTATGAGAGTTCAAGCTGATGAGACCTTAAAAATCTGACGATAACAAAATATGTTAATTACTTATTTTGTTATTAATATTATCAACATATTATTTAGCACTTAAAATGTTACCAAAGTTTAAGCGATATGAGCTTAGAAATTTGACGATAACAAAATATGTTAATTACTTATTTTGTTATTAATATTATCAACATATTGTGTAGCACCTAAAATGTTACTAAAGTTAAAGCTTACGGGGCCTTAAAAATTCGACGATAACAAAATAAGTTAATTACTTATTTTGTTATTATTATTATCAGCATATTAGGTAGCGTCTAAAATGTTATCTGTAACACCTCAACCCGTACCCGGCCTAGATACGAGTCCGAGATGTCACATTGACTTTTTAAAACAATATTCTTACAAAATAATAGAACATTTGGACTTATATTAAGAAAATATGATAATATACTGTTGAATTATGTTTCGTTATAACAAATTTAAGATAAAAATGTTTTTATGAATAGGTACTATACTGTATGAATAGTACATATACTGTGTAAATAGTACCGATACCGTGTAAACAGTAATGAATAATACCGATGAACAAAAACATCGAATGTAAAATGTGTATCGATACTGCTACAGTGTATCGATACACTGCTACAGTAATTTCAGCCCAACATATATAAAACTCATAAAAAATTTAACTTTCATCAATATAAAGTTATCATTTACATAAATACGTTTAAAACATTACAAAACTCAATCAGAGCGTACATACTTAATTTAACGACTTTGTTTACATGCCAACCTATTTATCACATAACAAGACATATTGTGTAATTTACTTCTGATATGATCTTCAAGTGGAGATATGTTGTTCTGCTGAGCTTATATTGGATCTTTCTGTTTTTCGGTACCTACGTGTAAAACGCTTACATGCTAAGTCATAGACATAGTGAGGCATAATGATAATGTCATAATGATATGAAATGTAATGAAATCACATATTTAATCCATGCAACTTGCATAACCATGTATCTTACCCATAATCTGATCAAATTAACCATCATGAATCCATATAATAAGTTCACTAGCCCATGATACAATACTGAGAACCTGAGATATGTGAGTACTGTGAGGTTGTACACTATGCTATCACCACAGCTCGTATAAATTTCCACTAGGGGTATGTAGAATTTGTCCTGAATGACCGTGTAGAAATGCACTGAAGTTCCATATAAGATGTCTATAAGGACCACGTAGAAATTCCTTAAGAATCATATACATATGCCAAGGATTAAGTATGTGTCTCAAAAGATCACACACATGTTCCAAAGAATACATATATGTCCCGAAGAATCGCGTAGACCCTCTACTCTTGGCATGTCAACTATACATATAGTTCTCATCTACATAACATGGGCTTATCACAATTCATATAGTATATCTCATAGACATGTAATTTATTACCTTTATCACATAGCTCATGTAACTTTTCATGCATATTTATTTACAACGTGTCACATAATGCATATGGTATGAACTCATATCATGTTTCATAATATGAAATGAATCATGTATCAATGTATTAAATCTAGACTTATCACAAGTCTAGAACTGAATATACTACTCTAATCATGCTATGCATATACACTCACCTATATTTCCTTGTCTTTTCCTCGATCAATCCTACTCGTCAATTGTTCCAGAACTTGTTTAGGCTCAATATCTACATAAACATAATTTTTGAGACGATTAACAGAAGTTTAAACCTTATAATTCAATGCTAATAACTTGAACTAATTTAATCAGCTAAAATTCCTATTTTCCTTCAGGAGTAAACCGACACACTCCTGGTGTGAACCGACACACTCCTGGTGTATCGGTACCCAAATTCAATTCGAAATTCACAGGTATTGGTACACCCCTTAATGTATCGATACACCTTCAACATTGGTCTTAGTGTATCGATACTTATTCATAGTGTACCGATACACTCTACCCACAACAGATTTTTTTTATCCGAAAATTCATCAACTCTTCACTAAATTTCATCATAAAATCTCCTATCATACCACCAAACTCATCTACAACCATTTTAATTAACTTCTATCATTCCAACACCTTATTATCTCTCATAATTCATCCAAATTCTTAAAACCAAGAATCTTACCAAATTTTCAATGTAATCCAAACTCAATTCTAACACTTATAACTTCTTGTTTACACTTATGACAAGTCAAATTTAGCTTTTAAATCCATTTATATACTCTTATTCAAAATTTCACTTATCCACTTCTTCCCTTTAATCTTCCATAACTTACAAATCTTTGAGTTTCTATTACCTTTTTCATCTCCATCATGTTTCCTAAGTCTTTATTAACCAAAATCATACTTGAATCTTAAGGATTAACCAAAACAAATCAAACTCACCTTGGCATGGTGTGCTTCACAGTGGAGAAAAAGAAGATGAGAGAAATATCTGGAAACTTTGTTTCCCAACATGCTCCACATGGGTATTAAAATACCCACAATTATTATTTAATTATTTTCCTTGTTCAATGACTCATTTATCCCTTTCTTCTTCTTCATTTACTAAATCATCATACACCAGATATTTCAATTAAGCCATTGAACTTTTCAATTTATCTAAATTGGTCACTAAAATTTAAAATATCACGCTTTGGTCACTAACCCGATATTGAGGATGTTACATTATCAAAGTTTAAGCTGATGGTATCTTAGAAATCCGACGATAACAAAATAGTTTAATTACTTATTTTATTATAAATATTATCAACATATTTGGTTGCCCCTAATATGTTACAAATATTTAAGCTGATGGGGCCTTCGAAATCCCACGAAAACAAAATATGTTAAATACTTATTTTGTTATAAATAAATATTAGCATACTAAGTTGTGCCCAATAATGTTATTGTGAATAAATAAGTAGGTTGCGACCTGAAATATTAAAGTTGTGTTTAATAAAATCGGTAGCGATTTAATATATTATGTATCTTTGGATGGAAACTATTTTTAAAATAAATATCGATACTGCTATGATCTAATGGTCGATACTTTAACAAATTTCGATATTGTTTTCTATGATGTTCGATATTTTAGCATTTTAGAAACTTGTTAATTTGAAAAAAACTGAAATGTTAAGATCGAAAGTTACTTATTTACAAAATTCATTTAAATATATTTGTAAAAATATTGATACTTTGTGTAGATGTATCGAAACTCTTATACTCCGTATCGATACTTAGTGTAGATGTATAGAAATTATTAATATCAATACTTTGTGTATATGTATCGATACGTATTCAGGAAAATTATTAATACATGATATCGATACTTTAGAATTTTAGATTTTTATGACTGTTATCGAAATTTAGCATTTGAAAAAGTTAACGAATGTTAAAATATCGATAATTGATATATGATGTATCAATATTTTTGAAAATGTTGATGAATTCCACCCCTAAATCAACCTACAAGTATCGATACTTTCGAATTAAAAAAAATATTTCAAGCAGTTAAGTTATAAAAATTTTACTGTTTACATTAATATTATACATTTAAACAAACCGGCAGGTAGTTTAACGTAATAAGTAGCGCATGTTTTATTTTAACCAGTTAAGTTGTAAATATTTTACCGCTTACATTGATATTATACCTTTAAACAAACTGGTAGCTAGTTTAACGTAATAGGTATCACCTATTTTATTTTAACCGGTTAAGTTTTAAATATTTTACCGTTTACTTTAATATTATACATTTAAACAAACCGGTATCTATTATGAATATTTTTAGGACAATCTTTGGACATATCATATTGCCGAAACAATATTGATACTTTTAGAGGAAGTATGTATACCGAAACTATGCAATTTATGCTTCAAAATTAATAATATCAATACTTGGAGTAAGTGTATCAATACTTTAATAACTAGATCGATATTTCAACAATCCTCAAATTTAAAATATTGATACTTAAAGTAGGGGTATCGATACTTGTGTGGGAAAATTTGTGACATAGTATACTGTCGAACACATATCGATATATAGATTACATTTACATTAAAATGTTTGATATACATTTATTGTTTGCTTGCTTATTACAACTATAGATTACATTTACATAATCCGTTGTGTAGGAGACACACACCTGATGGAGAATGAATATTAGAGAGGTAAACAAGCAAATAACCAGTCTATATCAGATGTGTGTCTCTTGAATGATTTCGGTTTACGATTATCCTATTTTTATGAGTTGGATGAAATGAATTCTATAAGAAAGGCATTCTCCATATATTCAGTCTTCTAGCTTGTGCCTCAAAATTATGATGGGCATGCTATACCTAGTTTCATATATGAAAGAAATAACGGAAGTTAGAATTAATCAAGGCTAACATGATAATTGTGAAAAGTTTATAAGAAAATAATCTTACAAATTGCATTTGATGTTTCAAACACAAAATGTATTAACTAGTTCCTTCTAACCAACATCTCTGCATATATCACAACATTTGAACTAAAAAATAATAATGAAGCACAATTAGTAAGAGAAAATCAGAAATAATTATGTAACTTTGAAGGAATATACCGATGAACATTGGTTAGTTGATTGCTAGAATTTTTTCGATGAATTGTTAGTTGATTAATCAAGATTTTTTGATGAGTTGTTGGTTGATTGCTCCGTATCATTTGATAGAAGGTGAATGGTGTTGTTACCATTTAGCAGGAGACACATTCTTCACCATTTAACACAAAATTTGTTATTTATAGTGGAACTCAAATTAAAATTAAAATTAAAATTTAAGTATTAAATGTTTGATTACTACTAATGCATTCATTTTGTCGGTCGGTTGTAATAGTATGGAGATATGTTTGAGTACATTAAAATTGAAAATAAAAGATGAATAGTGGGTCTGAAATTGAAATTGGAATTGAAATTTAAGTATCGAATGTTTGAGTATAATTGATGCATTAATTTTGTCAGTTATAATAGTATAGAGATATGTTTGAATACATTAAAATTGAAAATAATGTATTATGTGAATGGATAAAAAAATATTTAAACAAACTGGTAGCTAGTTTAAAATAATAGGTTGCACATATTCTATTTTAACCGGTTAAGTTGTAATTATTTTACTCGTTTACATTATTATTATACCTTTAAATAAACCGGTAGCTAGTGTAACGTAATAGGTTGCACCTATTTTATTTTAACTGGTTAAGTTGTAAATATTTTACCATTTACATTATTATTATACTTTTAAACAAACCAGTGGCTAGTTTAACGTAATAAGTTGCGCCTATTTTATTTTAATCGTTTAAGTTGTAAATATTTTACCGTTTAAATTATTATTTTACCTTTAAACAAACACGTAGCTAATTTAACGAAATAGGAAGCGCCTATTTTATTTTAACCGGTTAAGTTGTAAATATTTTACCGTTTACAATATTAATATACCTTTAAACAAACCGGTAACTAGTTAAACTTAATAGGATGCACATATTTTATTTTAACCCATTAAGTTATAAATATTTTACCGTTTACATTATTATTATGACTTTTAAACAAATTGATTGCTATTTTAACGTAATAGGTAACATCTATTTTATTTTAATCGGTTAAGTTGTAAATATTTTACCGTTTACATTATTAATATACATTTAAACAAATCGGTAACTAGTTTAACGTAATAGGTTGCACCTATTTTATTTTAATTGGTTAAGTTGTAATTATTTTACCGTTTACATTATTATTATACTTTTAAACAAATTGATAGTTACTTTAACGTAATATGTTGTGTCTATTTTATTTTAATCGGTTAAGTTATAATTATTATTACACTATCGATATTTTTACAACGATATTTTAATGAAAATTTTCAAATAAGTAACTTTCAAATCTTTACTTGAACAATTTTTTCAAATAAATCGATATTTTAATTTCCATCAACTTTCTCAAATGTTAAAGTATCGAACATAATAGAAAAATATCGATATTTTACATTCATCAAATATCAGATCGTAGTATCGATATTTATTTAAAAAAAAGTTTGATATTTTACAACCTTCTCATTTTCTATGTTTTTTTATATTCGAAAATATTGATATTTGTTAAAAAAAATATTAAAACTTTGCAACCTTATTATTTTTCATGTTTTTTAAAAGTTGAAAGCATCTATATTTGTGGAAAAGTGTTGATACTTTGTAGTTTTCTCATTTTTTATGTTTTTTTAATTCGAAAATATCTATACTTGTAGATTTTTTTTTTGATAATTCAATCTATTCATCCAAAAGAAAGCAGCAAGCTGCTACAAAGTACATATTACAAATTGTTATATGAGTCCCCAATCACTACAAAGCTATATATTTACCCTATCCAATCTATTCATATCATGCCTGTACAACTTAATTCTAACAACCCTTTTATAATATTTACAATAGCATCTGTCGAATGCGACAATCCCCTAAAAACACGATAGTTGTGTTCTTCCCAAATGAAATAGACAAATCCAGTCCATGCTAGTTTCAGAACGTGAATTAGCAGGGACTTACCCTTCCAATTGCTAGTCATCCAGCATATAAGATCATCCCAGCTTAATCCTTGATGCTGCAGCCTACAAACGTGCAAAACAGAATCCCAGACTGCTCTCGAGTAAGAGCATTCCAAGAATAAATGGTTCCTAGACTCCAAAACAAGTCCCACACAGCCCACAAGCAAGGTCAGTCACCACTCCAAACCGATTAGATAAGTTTACTGATTACGTCATTGTAATTAATATATTAGATATAAATCAATATTTTCAATCGCACTAAATCAATTTTATTAAGATTCTTTTCAAATTTATTTTTTTAACCTTATATTAATTTAACTTTCCTTATCCTTAGGGAATCTCCAAATCCTACACGTACTTCACATTTCAAAAAGCAGTGCTCTCCAAGTTTGTACTTTGGTCAGATAACATTAACTTGTGTCCACATACATGACATGAAGATGACTTTTTTGACTTTTCAACTAATTCCATTATTCTCAGCTTTTCCCGAAAAATTCATTTAATTCTCCTCAAGTAAACTATTGTGGAATATACAACCCAGTTAACCCATTGTATGTGACAAGTTTGAAAAGTCAAGTGGATTCAGTGCCATGACTGTGACATTGGCTGAGATATGTAGCACACCACGAGCAGTCTTCGTTTGGCGAATCATATTTCAATGAGCTTTGAGAATTCATCTACCAAATGTCACTGTGTTGATTTGAGGTTTTTTCTTCATTATTTTCTGAAATGTTTTTGAGTTTTATATTTGTTTTGAGTATATATGTTTTCATTCAAACATATTGGGATATGTGATGGTATCATTGAATCCGAGACTGCGTTAATGCCAATGCCATCTGCAAATAATGATAAAAGTTTTCAAAAAAAATATGGAGAATTACGAGATATGTGTTGGGGGAAAATTAAATTGTATTGATGGATTTAATATTTAAATTAAATTTATGTTTCTTTTAAATATCATAAATTAAAAAGATATTTTTAATTTGAATATTAGTAGGATAATTATTCTTTGAATATGTCAAATTAAAAGGTATTTGTTACTTATTTAACTTTAAATATCAAAGAAAATTATATCATTTTAAATATTTCAAATTAAAATATTAAATGTTTAAGTTTAAATAGTAAAAAGTAATTTTATCTTTTTCAAATTAAAAGATATTATTATATGATTAAATTTAAATATTAAAAGATATCTCGTTAGAGTAAATCTCTCTTGAAAATCTCTTATAAATACTGAACAAATACATGTATTTTTCTTTCTATTTATTTTCTTTTCTTCTCTTAATAAGTTTAATCTTGTTTGTTTTATCTTTTCAGGTGTGATTATGATCTCAGCTTCTAACAATCCTAAGACATGATAAACTTGTTCTTCTTCATTAATTATTTATAATGAGATTTGATTATTATTTATCATTATTTTATTCTCTATATTATTTTTGGAATTAACGATTTTGTCTAATAATCTTAAGACAAATTTAATCTTATTTACTCTTAAGACCATCGATACTAGGGGCTTTTTGCGGATTGATTTGTTGGAAGGCAGCATGGATCTCTTCGACGGTGTACTCACTGCACAGTTTTGAATTTACTTCCGGGGTAATACACTTCTCGATGGAGTTCAAAATTCGATTCGAATTTCCATTTCTTGTCGATGTGAACAGTCCGGTAAAGATGTCAGTGGCTACTTCAAAAATGTCATCCAAGCTATCTTTCCAAACCCCTTCCGAATTCATAATTCCCCGGATCCAGTTCTTTTTCCTGCGGCAAGAAGCTCTCGCATGGAAGTATCTGGTGTTCCTATCTCCATTCTTCAGCCACGCTATTCTTGACTTTAGCATCCATAACACTTCTTCCTTGTTCAACAGGTCTTTAAGCTCACGTCTAGCACCAGTCAGGCGATCCACACTCTCAATACTAACAGGTTCATCCATCAGTCCAGCAATAATCTCCTGGAGCTGCTTTTTCCTTTTACCTCAGGCCTGCGGTTCTTCTGCCAGGAATCAAGCTTAAAGCCAAGGCAAGTAAGATTTTCAATAGTGGCCCCCCTGCTCTAAGTTCCACGTGGATTCCACAATGTTAGCACATTTATTCTCCATTGTCTAACAGTTCTCAAAATGGAACTGTTTATGACGCCCGCGAGAGCCTTTGATACAATCATCGCCTTTCGAGTTTAAAAGAATAGCAGCATGGTCAGATTCAGTCGTCATCACGGTTGAAACAAAAGCTTGAGGCGAATTCAGAAGCCAATCCCGAGATGCAGTAAACCTATCCATACGCTCCCTGAGATGTTTGTGAGTATGGTTCCCGAAGAACTAGGTAAACCAGCCCTTATTTGGACGAACATCATGCAAACCGGTGCAGCTTAGAGCGGCCCGAAATTGAGCCATATCGTCTTCCGCACGGCGTCTGCCTCCAACTTTCCCGCTATGGGTGAGAATCTCATTGAAATCTCCCCCGGCAAGCCAAGGGAGCCGGGATTTATCCTTGATGCATTCCAGAAGAGCCCAACTATCCCTTCTTCTTCGATCCCACTCCCCGTAGAAGCCAGTGAACCTAAACTTCTCCCCAAGCTTTTCGACCTCTACATCAATGTGTCTATAAGAGAACTCAATGAGCTCCATATTAACTTCAGCACACCTCAAAAGCATGAGCCCTGAACAATTGTCTGTTAAAAGTTAATTTCAAAGTTTGACAACTAACTTTGAAAAATATTTTTCAAAGTTTGATAAATGTTTATTTGAAAAATGTTTTTCAAAGTTTGGTAAAGTTTGGTAGATGTTTGTTGAAAATATGAATAGGTAAATTCACTTTAGTCATTGCATTTTAGGGTATTTTCAAAGATTAGTCCCTAAGTTTCAACTATAAATACCCTAGCTCATTTAGCTTCAAAATCATCCCAAATCCCAAAATCATTTTCTTTCTCCCAATACTAGAGAGCTTTCTTGTGAGTAGTGAGAGTTTTGTAAACACCTGTAAATTTTCTCTTTTAGTAAAAGATCTGCAGCAGTCCGGAGACGTAGGCAAAAATTGGCTGAACTCCGTTATCAATTTCAGGTATTATTTTTCTGCTTTTATTTCGCATTCTCACTAATATGGTTATAGGGAAATTACTTGTTACTCGTTTTATTTCCCAACAACTGGTAATCAGAGCTTTTGGTTGTAAATTTTGTCAATTTTTGTGAGGTTACTATTCATTACTATTCACGTGAATAGTGAATTTCGTGAATAGTAAAAAATTTGTCGGCGATACGAATTTATCGACGGAGGTGTTCTAATACACGGTGGTTCGCAAGAATTGTCAGAAACGATCCAAACGAAGCTAGATTCGAGTAGGAGCGATGACTGTAGACGAAGGGAATGTGAAAATTGAAAAGTTCGATGGTGCAGACTTTGGCTTTTGGAATATGCATATTGAAGATTTTCTGTACCAGAAAAATCTATATCAACCTCTCTCAGGAAAGCAACAAGAGGGCATGAAGAATAAAGACTGGGCTCTTCTCGACAGACAAGCCCTCGGAGTTATCCGATTGATGTTGTCCCGCAATGTTGCTTTCAACATAGCAAAGGAAAAGAACACGACGTGTCTTATGGCGGCTCTCCCCAGTATGTATGAGAAGTCATCAGCCTCAAACAAAGTTCACTTGATGAGGCGATTATTCAATTTGCGGATGACGGAAAGGGCATCAGTGGCTCAACACCTAAATGAACTCAACACAATCACAACCCAGTTGAGTTCCGTGGAAATTGAATTCGATGATGAAGTTCGAGCTTTAATTCTCTTATCATCTCTATCAGACAGTTGGAATGCTACTGTTACAGCAATCAGCAGCTCGTCGGGAAACAACAAATTAAAATTCGACGATGTTCGGGATCTGGTATTGAGCAAAGAAATTCGACGGAGAGAATCGGGTGATGCATCAACCTCCTCAGCCTTGCACACGGAGTCCAGAGGGAGAACTTCATAAAGAAATTCAAATCGTGGCAGATCTAAATACATAAGGGAAAAATTAAGAATGGGGAAGAAAGATTTTACCTGTTATAACTGCGGCAAGAAGGGTCACTTTAAAAGAGATTACCGAGCACCGAAGAAAAATACCGGCGTACATGAATCTACCAACATGATAGAGGAGACATGTGATGCCACGATTCTAAGCGTCAACAGTCCGATTGAATCATGGATCTTTGATTCAGGGGCATCTTTCCACTCCACCCCATGCCAAGAAATCATGGAGAACTATGTCAGTGGTGATTTTGGGAAGGTTCATCTAGCTGATGATGAAACCTTGAAGATAGTCGGAAGAGGAGACATCCGACTAAAGCTGCCAAACCAGACCACCTGGACGCTGAAAGGTGTGAGACATATTCCTGGCCTAAAAAGAAATTTGATTTCCGTAGGACAGCTTGATGGAGAAGGTTATAGTACAACCTTTTCAGACTGTGAATGGAAGATTACAAAAGGATCACTCATCATTGCTCGTGGTAAGAATACTGGTACTCTCTATGTAACCTCAAACTTAGAGAATATCATTATAGTAGCAGATGCTGATGGAAAATCAAACATATGGCACCAAAGGCTTAGCCATATGAGCGAGAAAGAGATGAAGCCACTTTTGTCAAAAGGGAAGCTGCCGGATCTAAAGAATATAGATGTCGGACTATGCTTGGATTGCATCTTTGGCAAACAAAAGAAAGTCAGTTTTTCAAAGATTGGTAAGACACCCAAGGCTGAAAAGTTAGAGTTGGTTCATACTGATGTATGGGGACCATCTCCAGTTCCATCTCTTGCAGGCTCATTATATTATGTCACCTTCATCGATGATTCTACAAGGAAGGTGTGGGTTTATTTTCTGAAGAAATAATCAGAAGTCTTTGATACCTTCAGAAAATGGAAGGTCATGGTGGAAAATGAGGCTGGTCTGAAAGTCAAGCGGTTGAGGTCTGATAATGGAGGAGAGTACAGAAATCATAGATTCAGAGAATTTTGCGCAAATAATGGGATCAAGATGGAGACAACAGTTCCCATGACACCGCAACAGAATGGCGTAGCAGAGCGCATGAACAGAACTCTGAATGAACGTGCCAGAAGCATGAGGATACATGTCGGATTGCTCAAATTTCTATGGGCTGAAGCTATCAACACTGCAGCTTACCTGATCAATCGTGGGCCCTCAGTTCCTTTGGATGGCATAATACCAGAGGAAGTTTGGAGCAAGAAAGAAATAAATCTTTCACACTTAAGAGTGTTTGGTTGTATTTCTTATGTATACATAGACTCTACTGAAAGAAGTAAACTTGATGCTAAGTCCAACAACTGTGCCTTTGTTGGTTATGGCGGTGATGAGTTTGGTTACCGGTTTTGGGACTATGAAAATCAAAAGATCATCAGAAACAGAGATGTCATTTTCAATGAGAATGTGATGTACAAAGACATGTCAACTGTAGAATCAAGTAGCTCCAATACCGAAGCTGAAAAAAAGGAATTTACTGAGTTCGAGGAGATTTTTAGAAATGATGTTCAGATCAATCCTGAAGCAGTTCAAGAAGAAACAGACACACCAGAACTGTGATGCTCATCCAGAATTCCTAAACCAATCCAACGATATTCTCTTTCTTTGCACTACTTATTGTTGACTGACAATGGTGAACCAGAGTGTTATGATGAAGCAATGCAAGTGGAGGATTCAGTCAAGTGGGAGTCTTCCATGAAAGATGAGATGGACTCGCTTATGTCAAATCAGACGTGGGAATTAGCTGAATTACCACCAGGCAAGAAAGCGCCCTATAACAAGTGGATTTACAAGATCAAGGAAGAGCACGATGGGAGCAAACGCTACAAAGCGAGATTGGTTGTCAAAGGTTTTCAACAAAAAGAAGGTATTGACTACAATGAAATTTTCTCTCCAGTCGTGAAGCTGTCTACAATCAGACTGGTATTGAAAATTGTAGGTGCATAGAATTTACATCTTGAGCAGTTAGATGTAAAGACAGCTTTCCTTCATGGTGATTTAGAGGAAGAAATCTATATGAGGCAGCCATAAGGCTTCATATAGGCAGGCAAGAAAAACTTGGTATACAGGTTGAAGAAGAGCTTGTATGGTTTAAAACAAGCTCCTAGACAGTGGTACAAGAAGTTCGATAGCTTCATGAGTAGCAGTGGTTTTACCAGATGCCAATCAGATCATTGTTGCTACATCAAGAGGTTCGACAATAGCTTCATTATTTTATTGTTGTACGTTGATGACATGCTCATTGCAGGCTCAAACATGCAAGAGATTATACACTTTAAGCAAAAATTGTCGAAGCAGTTTGTTATGAAGGATCTGGGCACTGCAAAGCAGATTCTTGGGATGAGGATCAAGAGAGACAAAAAGTCAGGGACTTTGATGTTATCACAGGCTGAGTACATCAACAAAGTACTCTCCAGGTTCAACATGCAAGATGCTAAACCAGTAAGTACACCTTTAGGTGTTCATTTTAGACTCTCCAAAGAACAGTCACCAAAGACGGAGGAAGAACGTGCACACATGGTGAAGGTGCCGTATGCCTCAACAATTGGATGTTTAATGTATGCCATGGTTTGTACCAGACCAGATATTGCTCAAGAAGTGGGAGCTGTTAGCAGGTACATGAATAATCCGGGCAAATTACACTGGGAAGCAGTCAAATGGATCCTCAGATATTTGCGGGGTACTACAAACAAAACACTTTGTTTCAAAGGTGGAGATACGATACTGACAGGCTATGTAGATGCTGACTTAGCCGGAAATATTGACATCAGAAGGAGCACTACAGGGTATGTCTATACTCTAGGAGGAACTGTAGTGAGTTGGGTTTCTCAACTACAGAAGATAGTTGCTCTATCCACAACTGAAGCAGAATATGTCGCTGTTACGGAAGCTAGCAAGGAGATGGTTTGGCTCTAAAGTTTCTTGGAAGAGTTAGGCTAGAAACAAGAAAACAATGTCTTGTATTGCGACAGTCAAAGTGTTATCCATCTAGCAAAGAATCCGTCTTTTCATTCCAGGACGAAGCATATACAATTGAGATATCATTTTATCTGATCTCTTCTGAAAGATGGGATTTTAAAACCTGAAAAGATTAGTGGAGCTTAAAATCCGGCAGACATGTTGACAAAGATGGTGACTACGGACAAACTGAAGTTGTGTTCAGCTTCAGTTGGCATGCTAGAATAACAAGACCAGAAATACTACTTCATTGATCGAGGTGTGAAGACAGATTAAAATCAGTCTTCAAGTGGGAGATTGTTAAAAGTTAGTTTCAAAGTTTGGCAACCAACTTTGAAAAATGTTTTTCAAAGTTTGGTAAATGTTTTTTTTTTTGAAAAATATTTTTCAAAGTTTAGTAAATGTTTCTTTGAAAAATGTTTTACAAAGTTTGGTAGATGTTTGTTGAAAATATGAATGAGTAAATTCAGTTTAGTCATTGCACTTTAGGGTATTTTCAAAGATTAGTCCCTAAGTTTCAACTATAAATACCCTAGCTCATTTAGCTTCAAAATCATCCCAAATCCCAAAATCATTTTCTTTCTCCCAATACTAGAGAACTTTCTTGTGAGTAGTGAGTGTTTTGTAAACACCTGTAAATTTTCTCTTTTTAGTAA